AACTTCTCCTTCATGTCCTCCTTTGACCCATCCTGCCTCTCTGTCCTTGTTTTTTCTTTCCCCCTCCTTCTCCCATACACTAACATGAAATGATGTGACATATACGCCACTCGGCTGTTCATCCAGTGTGCCCTACAGTTCTATAAGTGCACTCATATTAGCCTGTGTGGCTAGCAGGACTCAAACTCTCGTCCCTGCTAGTTTTGTGCACTATGCATTAAACAACACAGGACTCCCCTGTCTTTCTCACTCCCTGAAACCCACGCCACTCCCTCCTCCTTGCATCTATTTTCCTTTATTCCTCTCTCTCTCTCTCTCTCTCTCGCTCTCTCTCTCTCTCTCTTTCTGTGTGTGCGTGTGTGTGTGTGTGCGTGTGTGTGTGTGTGTGTGTGTGTGTGTGTGTGTGTGTGTGTGTGTGTGTGTGTGTGTGACAGTAGTCATGTCAGAGTAAGGCTGGCTGAAGCACTTGCAGCAGTCTGCCTCTTTGATGTTGAGCCCTGCTGAATTAGGCCATCACCCAGTGGTGCTCTGCTGCCTGCCTGCACAGAGACACTAGTCACACACATAGACACACACACACACACAGTACACGTGTGAGCACAAACATGCAAACAAAAACAAATGCATGCTGGTCAGACAGCATGCACAAGCAAAACAAAAAAAAGTATACATGCTGCTACTCACACAGAAGACGTGGGCGCACACACACAAGTAATGCAGGTGTAATACCTTAAATAATATACACTAAAACATGTCCAAACAGTTCCTATTCTCACTCTCACAGTTTCTATTTCACACACACACACACACACACACACACACACACACACACACACACACATTGTGAATTACATGCATATACTGTAAGTCTTTATTTCCCTCCCCACTTCTCTTTAATAAACATAAATTTGAATTCTTATGAGTGCTTCTCCTCTGAGGCCTCTATACTATAGTACATCAAAGAACACGCACACTCATGAACACACATACAGGGAAAATGTAGGACATTCAGAGAGAATTTATTCAAGAATACAGACTACAGGAAAGAATTTATTCCCTTTCAATCTGCTCTCGCTCTCACTCTTACAATGGGATCCCATGAATGGTACTAAAGTGGCTAAGGCAGGAAGCCTGCTGAATTACACATAAAAACAGACTGGTGACCTGAAATTTCAAAAAATGAACATGATGTCTTAAGATCCAAATATATAATCTCCGTTCACAATTCAGTTGCAAAGAGATGAGACAAGGAGGAAGTTTCCTCTCTGATATCCCAAGTTCAGTTCCCAAATCATACGCAGAAAAATATTCTACCGCTCTGTGTGATGATCATGTTCATAGAAAATGTTGCGTTTAACCAATAGGAAAACCTAAACAATATTTTCATAGTAAGAATGGATAATATGATATATGATGATAGAAAGGTCTCACTCATGTGGACAAACCCACAAATAATTATCACCCAACTCTACATTTCCCCTTATTTCTTCTGAGCTTTTTAACTTCTTTCAGCTCATTGTTTTAATTTTCCAGCCGACTTATTTAGTTCACTATCACTTACAGTATTAGTGGCAGCTGTTTTCGGTGAAAAAGGCAAATAAAAACCCACTGTATGCTACCAGCTCAGCACCAAACAGCAGACAAACAAAGTTAGCAACTAGCTAGTGAAAATAGTTGAGCATTTAGCAGCTAAAGTTAATAAAAATATTTCTCCCATATGTTACTGGAGATCAAAAGGAACTTCCATTCATCAAACATAGCTTCAAATGAATGATAATATTGGTTCATATCTGCTTGATGTGTAAATAAGCCACTGTTTGTAAACACAGCCATATCACATTTATATTTATAATATATTTATTTATCATTTATTTTCATTTATTATTTATTTACTTTATAAACAAGTATATATTAATATTGTGTTTACTGCTAATTGTGTTACCCCTGAGTGGCCAAAAATCAATTAATGAAGCTTTAACCAAACTGTTGTTTCCTAAACTAAACTATAGCATTAACCCCAAAAGAGATTATATTTCCCTCATTTTAGTGCTGTAAAGCAGAACTATTTAATATGTAATAATAAGTAAAAATTATAATAATAATAAATAATAAGTGACATTTATGTGAAATGGCTACTATGTGTGATATATGTTTTGTGTAATGGAAAATATCTTTTTATTTTTTTTGGAACATTTATAACCTCCTGCATCATATGTCAGGCTTATGTCACAAGTTATTTGGTGAAAAAAAAAAAGAAGAATCCATAATCCATATCCCATCCCATTCCTTATGACTATAATTAAGTTCAGTATTGCCAAAGCAAGTTGTACCACACTTACAATGATAGGAAATAGAAAAATAAAAACAAATGGTGTGCACATTACTATAGTATACTCTCTCTGTGCTCTCTGTTGGCCAGGAACAGCCCTGTGGTAAAACTGGAGACCGGCCAGGGATCTTTCCATCAATTAGTTGATTTTTTTTCTCTTTTTTTTGCCCCTGTCTATCTGTGCCTTCAACTCTCTCTATCTTTCTGTTCTTCACTCCATCTCTTTCTCTCTCTCTGTCTGTCTCATTATTTCCACTGTTGTTGGCTCGCTACAAGTATGCTTGAGAACATGGCATCCAAACGTAGGACACAACGAACACTTCTTCAAATGCTGTTATTAAATCACTCAAAAGGTCCTAGAAAAGCTACTTTATCATGCACTTCCATTCCATTTTTAACATTATGTTTTTGTTTATTTGTTTGGGTGCTTGATTGAAGGTTGTGCACATTTAAACTTCTATTTTTGAAATCTCGGTATGAATGTGTAAAGAGAGCAGGTGGCACCAGTGGTTCACATAAGACAATAACAACCCACAACTTTACACACACAGGCAGACACACATGCATAAAATTACAACACACAGTTGTGCCTCCCTGTGCTCCGAGCCGCACACAGCGTGTCATCACTGCATATCAATTACACGGGGAAGTGAAGATCTATTTCTAATTCAATCAGTCAGTGCTGGTGTCACATCCCTCGCTCTCTGGCTATCTCCCTGCCTCTCCCACTCTCCTCTTTCCCCATTGCTTTATTCTCACTGTTGCATCTCAGTCTTCATGGGGCTGGTTGGCGTGGGTTTGTCTGTTTATGCATGTGTGTGTGTGTGTGTGAGAGAGAGAGAGAGAGAGAGAGAGAGAGAGAGAGAGAGAGAGAGAGTGTGAGTATGTGTGTGTTCTAACCCCGTGGGAAACAGTTTTTGGGGTTATGACATTTTTTAGGAGTGAGGTAATCCTGGCCTGACCTTGATTTTTCTGTGGGCTTCAGGAGGGTTTAACAGTAAAAGATGCAATGTGGAATATTTACAGACATTGTTGTATCATTCTTAAATTAACTGCTATCCCTTGTTTCTACAACAAAATGAGACCAGAATGTTTCCTTAAATTAAGATTTCTTCATCTTATGGAAACTATAACTGTGTTCACCAGCCCGTTGCTAACTGTGTCAGTCTGTTGTACGGTGCAGTGCAGGTGGCATACAGTAGGTATTTTTGCTGCTAGAAACGACGTTGATGAGTGCAATGAGACTAAACGTGAACAGTTACATTGTAAAACTAAAACAATGAGCTAAAAGCTGCTAAAAAAGCTTTGTATAGCTGAGGGGAACTGCAGCCGGGTGATAATTATCTTTGGATTCATTACTAAAAACCAACACATTTCGTGTATCACATTGTAATTTGATACATTTTTTAATAAAAAAAAAAATATATATATATATATATGGAAGAACAAAGATCCTCTTCATAGCATGAAGAGTTTATTCTAATTTACCTGCAGAACTGCAATCTCTTTTCAAAATGGGTGTCACCACAGTGTCACATTAACATTGAAAGCAAACATCTTTTTGCACTCAGGTCCCTCAGATTTTAAATAACCAAAATGTCATACATCACAGGTGCCATGTATCAAAACACACATGGGATCACCTTTATAACAACATTACCAGAATTACCAGGATATTGACAGATTATGAAATTCAGAGCAGTAGCGCACCAGAGCAAACAAAAATTTGTATCAGTTAGTAGGACAAACTATTATAAATACATTATTGATATTCAGCTGCGCCATAAACAATAATTCAGTCAGAGATGATTATGTCAAGGAACTGACTACTCTGAGGACGCTCTCAAAACATTTGAGAAACAAGGATTCTGCTGGGAGAAAAATCTCCTCTTAATAAACATGACCATTAAAGTTAAATCATTAACACCAAGAAACATAGCACCTAACGAGGAGGGAGTGTATCAGCAGGGTAATGAAAGTGGAAGTGTTATAATGGCTAAGCTGTACACCTACATGCATATGCATTGGATTAAATGACCCAATGATTGTGAGGCATGAATTAAACAACTTGAATTAACATAAACAAGGAGAGGTATAGTGAACAAAATGTAAATGTAATACAGCAAAATCAAACTCTGTGACTCATAATGTCATATTTTTCCTAAAGAAAAATGTAAGGAGATATATATGCAGGTTGTATTCTGTAATTGTGTTTGTTATTTTGCCTGTCAGCTGGCAGGGCTATTTTAAGTAATGTTTGCCTCTGTCGTGGGTAACCTGCACATCTAAAGGCTTTATGAATATATTTGTTATTTTAAGCAGAAACGTTATGCAATGAGGGCTGATAGGAATGCGCAGCTGGTTATTGAGCCTTCAATAATCATTACATCCACTCTTCCAAAAAAAGAGCTTCACTAGCATCTTATGTCACTTATGTACTAAAAAAACATAAATGTCATCTTAAGTTGGCATCAGTCATGAAAGGCCACAATGTACCAGACTTTTAATTGTGTAATATTGTTAGTTCAGCTTGAGAATATTCTCAGAACACCAGTTAATGGAAACATGTATTGATTTGCATTGTCTTTGGTTGAAACTTTGGAAATGCATTTAATACGTGCACAATATTTAAATGTAACTTTCTCCCTCTGCCTGTCTCTTGCTCCCTCAGATCATAACCATTTGAACAATGCAGCCTTGTCTCCCCTGGGTCCAGCCATGGCCTTGTCTCATCCTCACAACAACCTGGGTATTGGCTTTAACAAGTACACCTCACTCAAGGCTGTGGGTGAGTAGGATCACACACACACACACACACACACACACACACACACACACACACACACACACACACAGTATGATAAAAAATACTAAATCTCCCCACACTGATGCACATACAGAAAGTGGTTAAGGGAGCACAAGCACCCATTGATATAATGCATTTGTTTTGAGTCTGACAATCACATGAGGCATGTTTGAGTGCTGTGGCTTATTTTCTTTTTGTTTTGTTTTTCGTCTTCCATATTATATCAGATCATGGCAGCAACTCACAAGAAAGAAAACCCCAACCCTGATTTCAATAATGTCCCTTTCATAAATATATGCTTGCTCCACCAGTGTGAATATGTTAGCTGGATACAATATTTTAAAGAAATACTGCAGGTTTTTGATGAAGATAAAAACAATTGGAATTATGTTATTTATATATACCAGTGTAAAACAACAGTGCCACACATAACTGACCATTACAGGGGCCGACTAGAGTGAGTTAGATGCATAAATGGAAGGAAGAAGCTGTTATAAATCTCTCCTTGGCGAAATGAACAGCATAAATCATTGAATTATGTGCCATAGCCTTCAAAGTCACCAGATCTCAACGCAACTGAACACCCATGAGACATTTTTGGCCGACATGTCTAACACTTTCATCAAAACACCAAATGAGGGAGTAAGTGTTGGAGGAAATGTGTTTATCATTCAGAGACTTGTAGAATGTATACCAATTCACACCTTACTAACATACATTGTGTTGTTTTATTCCTTCAATTTGGTCTATCAGTTCTAATCATAAATCATTTCCTCCTATGATGTGAAATAATAACATTAATGGTGCATTACTTTCTGAAACTGGGGAAGTCCTGTATTGAACAAAGCAGACATTAGAATAATTGTTGCCTCACAACCATGAAAAAAAACACTGTTGTTTATTATGCCTAAAGCTTAGCCACAATAATGCTGAGAGCTATTGACAGCTTGCCTCTCTGTTAATAACCATGAATCAGCTGTGGAAAAAAGGTACATGATGGCATGAATACATAACTGATGATGACATAACTCATAACAGACTGCTAACTATGTAAAGGAATTTTCACTATTTAAAAGAACAGGGATTAAACACACACACACACACACACACACACACACACACACACACACACACAGTTAGACATTGTTGAGTGGCAGAAGTCCGGACAGTAGCAGTTTGAAGCAACTGGTTCAGGCCTCAAGCTTGTCCTCTGGCCTTTCTCTCTCTCTCTCTCTCTCTCTCTCTCTCTCTCTCTCTCTCTCTCTCTCTCTCTCTCATTCTCGTTCGCACAGAAACACACGCAAAGTAAGAAAATGCACAAATAAATGTCCTACCCACCAGACACACACACACACACACACACACACACACACACACACACACACACATATATACAATATACTTCCTCTTTCTGCACAGACACACATAAGGGTCACAGGCATAAACATGTATATACACCCAAACACACAGACACATACCATCTATCATCTGATCACTGCAGACAGACAAGGACATAGTGACGATGATGAGGAATGACAGTTTGACACATGTACATGTACTGCTCATTGATTCGGTATGCAAAGAGAGACAGGACTGCCCATCATAGCTGCAGAGTAACAGACACAGAAACTAAAGAGCATGGGACAGCCAACGTTTTTAAGGACAAAGCCAGGATGACTGCTTGCTTACTTTGGTTTGGTCTGTCAAGCATAATGCAGTGTTAAAATGATAATGGTGACAGACTTACCAGCCTGAACCTCTGAGCAATTTTTGAAACATCTGGTTTTTATATTTCAAACAAAACCTTCTGATTTCCTGCCAAAAACCATCAATATTCCTGAAAGGAAAACAGTTGAAAGCAAATTTTATCACAGTATTTTATAACAATAACTAAATCACTATAATTAAAAAAAAAAAAAAAAAAGGGGGAGATCAGGGCTATCTTGGGTAACATTGCAAGAGTTGCTGAAATGTGAATTCCCCCAAAATACCTCAAAGAGCAGGACAGCCTTGCTAACATTACACAGTATGGAAATACTTCACTTTGGATGAGCTAGTCGTAAATGTTGTTGTTTTCTAACATAACCAGTAACCCTATATATGTAATAATATTATTAGCTAGTGATGTGCTGCTTGTGTTATAGGCCTCAGCCATGGGTTACCTGTTTACAGATGTTGTGTCCTGTTTTATACAGGCAATTGCAACAGGCTGTTCTCTGTCTTTATTTAACAGAAATTATATTTTCTCTCCATTAAAACCCGTAGGGCTCTATCTTGCACTCAGCGCAATTGACTTTGTACACTGGCGCTTGTATAATTCCTATTTTGCCCTCGACGCACATTGGAATTTTCCCTCTACCGACGAACGTCCTTAAATTAGGGAATGAATTTGCGCTCCGGGGGGCGGTTCAGCGAAAAGAGGAGGCGTGTTTCGGCGCAAACGTTCCCCGGTGCTATTTTGCTGTTTCAGAAAACAATTCCGCCACAGACCAGGAAAAACCTAGTCTAAAGTCAGTGGCGCTTATTCAGATGCTATTTTAAGGGCGCAGACTTGAGGGGATGCGCCTGAGAGGCAGCAGCAACATCGCCACCCGGTCAAGAAGGGCATTAATACTTTGCCGCATCCCGGACAGCTCCCGCTCCAGCATGTTCGGGTGGTCCTCCGGCGTGTAGCGGGTCTGGATCCTCTGCACCTTGGTGTTTGCGCTGCTCCCTCCTCAGCTGGCCCTTGCGCACTGCTCGGCCCGTGCGCACTGCTCCCGAGGCCAGGGTCTTTTTCCTGCGAAGCTGCGTTACATTGTTTTGATTTATTGTATGGCTGTGTTACATTTATTTCATGTCAATAATGTCACTTCTCGGTATTTTACGGCCCTGACGAGAACGTCGGTCTCCTCGGCTGTGAACCGCTCCTGGCGTGCGCCTGGCAAATCCGCCGTTATAATAGCAATCAACAAGCGCGCCTGCTTTTAAAAGGAATGTGAGATGACGCTCTGATTGGTTTATTGCACGTTACGCCCAAACCACACCTATGACTAATGTAGCTACTTCAGACCAACCCATTTTAGATTTGCGCCGGGCGCAAGAGTCATTTATCCCGCCGGCATAATAGCAACAGCGCCGAGATCCGCCCACAAAGCTACTTGCGTTTTGCGTTTGATAGTTGCGTTTCAGATCGGCAAGATAGGGCCCTTAGAGTTTATTGTTCACAATAATAACAATTACGTAAGAATTATAGTAGTAAGGTAATCTATTGTTCAGTTTAATAGAAACAGTTAACCAAAGTTAAACCAAATAATACACTGTACTACAAACTACAAAAAGGTGAAGCAATGTCTTTGTGACTTACAGTAGAGTTCATCATCATGTCGTTTTGAGATACAGAAGACGACCTGTGATGTTATGACATTGTGAGCTACAATAGAACTCCAGAATTCAGAAATCAGAAATATTGTACGTCATATTTTATAATAGTCTCCCCTGCGTCCCCCACTACGTAGCCACAAGACCGTGCTTCCTACAGTCGTTGTTCACCCACTCATCTGTTGCTTTTTTTAAATGTGCTCTAGCAGAATTCGAGGGTGTAGTCACCCTTTAAAAATGACAAAATTGCAGCCATTCAGAAAGCCATTGCAAATGTTGATAGCAACATGAGAATAGAATTGAAAAAAATAGAAAAATAGACAGAACAGAAAAGGCGCAGGAACGAGAAAATCTCGTCTTATTATTCTGCTCACTGAGTGAGAAACAAAGGCCGATTGCAGCAGCAGCAACCCCCCCCAACCACTCAACAAAAAAAACTAGCTCAAAATAACAAATCCCTCACACATCGAGGTGCAATTCTCCGTTCTCTCCTCTCGCTCGACGTCTAGGTGTTCAGTTCTGTCTCTGTGTGATGACACACAGACGATGAGCTGCTCCTCTTTGTGTCCCTCTGTTTGGTATCTGCTGTTTTTATCTCTCTCTAACACACACACACACACACACACCTATACACACATACACATGCACAGGAACTCCTCTGTATGTATTCTTCTATTCCAGTACAGTTCTGGTGTGTTGTGCTTTTTGCCATCAGAGACTGATCCTCTGGCACTGTGCGTCCAATTGCTCTTAATGATGCACCTAACAGCTAACACAGCACACATACAGCACACCTAAATCTAGCATTTCCACACACTGATCAGTATGCATACAACCCAAGACGCTCTTAACCTCTCTTCTTCCTTTAATCTCTCTGTCATTCTCTGTTTCCCACTGTCTTCATGCACACACCCACATGCATATGCAACATAGAAGTTGACACAATATTAGATTTCAAATAATGAAAATGTCAAAACAAACAAAAAGACTAATATCAAAGGGAAAGGCAATGGCGTGTTATAAATAAAACTTAATCTGGATCTACTTAAAATCCTTTAACGGCACTCAAACAAGGCATATATTTTACCATACTATAAATCAGATTCACATTGTGACAGAACATTTGGATCAATTTTGTTTGGATTTGATTAATGATATAAGTATGAATAGAAAAGTAATAATCCCAGGCTTCATGTCCCCCCCTGGACACGTCCTCCTCAGTATAATTTTCTCAATATGTGAGTAGTGTCCCCTGACTTTCAAGCTGCCAAAATCCAGACAAGAGAAGGAAGGAGCTGAACAATATGTTGATACACTCATCTGAGTCGACTTCTCTGATCACTGTGCACTCACAGCAGTAAGCTTAAGGAGCAGCTACAGGAAAAGCTTAGCAACCTTTTTTGCCCCGAGTTTTGCCTCTCTTGCCCTGTTTGCTTGCTGGAGGTTGTTGGGGGCATGCTGTACACAGTCTGAGAGGGAGACTGCGGACAATACTTAGGGCTGAAATAAGCACTTATATATTCTATGCATTACATTGGATAAAAACATTGTATTTTAATATTTTTTTTAATTTAAACCGTTTACTTGGCATCTCTTAAAAAATCTATTAAGGAAATTAAACA